TATATATGATTTTAATTTTTACTTGTCAACTATACCCCAATAAAGCTGAAAATAGTACTTTAAGGTTATTTGTGTGTGCGCACGCATGTAGAGGTCAGAAGACAATTTCCAGGAATCAGTTCTCTCCTTCCATCCTGGGTTCTGGGGATCAAACTCAGGTGGTCAGGCTTTTGTGGCAAGTGCTTTGTACCTGCTGAGCTATTTTGCTGACTTTAAAGCTGAAAAAATTTAATGACTTCATTCTGTGGTCATCTGTGTGTTCTAATACTTTTAACAAATTGGAAAATGTTCAGTGCTTAAGTAGTTATTTTTGTTTTTACTTTTATGAAAACTAGGATTTAGGGAAATTTTCCAACAGTGTGGGACACAAGGCACTAGAGACCTAATGTGGGAATTAGGAGCACTACTGTGATGTTTAAGTGGAGAGAGAAGAGAGATAAAAGTGAGAAGTTTCAGTAGCTTATTGGAGTCTGGGCAAGCCACTTCCCCTCAACTTAGTAGGACTGATGAGTTATCCCTATCGCTTACTGAGGTGTCCTTAACATTAGTGATACAAAGTGAAAAGGCATACGAAGGAAGGTAGGAACTTTGGTGAGTGTTTTGGCTTATGTCTGTAATCCTAGTGCTCTGGAGGCTCAGGCAGGAGGACTGAATTCAAGCTCCTGTCCCCAAACACCAAAACAAACCAACAACATCTCTTTTATTCAGTAAATGTGCTTGGTACTATAACACCTCAGTAAATAAATAATTGAATAAAATGACAAGAATTTGTGGGTGTTGACAAATAGTTTCTCTTTGGAAGCTACCAAGCAGGTGTTTGGAGTTATTATTTATTTTATTTTCTCTGTCTCTGAATTGTTTTTTTTTTCTTTTCTTCTTCACCTTCTTACTAGCCTGACAAGAGTGTATTATTTAATTCGCCATTCTCCACCTTCTGATTTCTATTTTAAATGATTATGCACATGGAAAAGGACATGGGCATTTATATTATCTTTTAACAAATTATTCTCTGAGGGGATATAGCATTGTAAATTTAAAAGTTTTGAGGCATATTTTTTAAAGGAAATGAGGAATAGTAGCCATACATTTTGCTTCCTCAGACTTGTTAGAAACTTGGGAGGAAATTGTTTATGGAGTTATAAGCCTTTTAAGCATATATAGTATAAGCATAATTTAAAACATTGTCTTTTAGAAGTTTAAGGGAGGGAATTGGAAGGGAACTAATATTTGTTGAGTGTTTCCTGTGTTCCAGGCACTGTGCAGACACTTTGACATGTATTACAGGGTTTATTGTGAGTATGAAATGAGATAATGTATCCCCATTTTACAGATGAGGAAACTGAACTTGCCCCAAGTCACATGGCTGGTAAGTGGCAGACCTGGACTAGAACCCAGACTCCAAATCCCTTGCTTTATCTGCTGTACAGTGTTTAAAATTTGACCAGAGAGGTATGATGTTAATGACTAGGACTGATGATTATAGGAATATTTAATTTCAGAAGTTAAGATGGTTAGAAACACATTATCATAGCCCTCTAAAATGCCATATTAGATGTATCTAAAAGTGTATCTAGGGAGAATTATGCCTTTTGTCAAGAAAAACCAGTTTGGATGAGCACGTGGCATCTCACAGGGCTTTCCAGTGATGTGTCCATAATTAAGACTGGGTGCCTGTGTCTGTGCAAAACCCTAGAAGTTTAAAGTTTACTTGGTAGTGTATACATAAATTCATTTAGCACTCTCATGCCAAAGACATGCTAGATTCTAGAGCATACCCAAGTAAAAAGACACGGTTTCTTTCTGGATGTTTTTGCTTGCCTGAGAATAAAATTAGGGTATGCCATTACTGCATAAATAAATTTTTTTTTAAATCTTCAGTCATGATTTTTTACCTTCCACCCATGACTCACATTTTTTCAGAAAATAAGGAGTTGGAGGGAGAAAGGGAAGGGTGGGAATAATGTGAAACTATAGTATTCATGTATGAAATTCTCAAAAAACCTTAAAGTACAAAAAAATAAAATTCTAAAGTCAGGTATGGTGGCATGTGCCTGTAACCCTAGCACTCAGGAGACTGAGGCAAGAGGATTGCAAATTTGAAGCCAGTCTGAGTTATATAGCAAGATCTTATCTAAAAAATCCTTGCAAAAATAATTTGGATACTTTTAATAACTAGATGGGCTAGGAATTGGGCTTTATAAATAATACAGGAAAAATGTCACGAGAGAGTATAGGGTGGTTCTTTGAACGGTGGTCTTTGAAATCATCACTGAATTCATAATGTTGAAAATGAAGCAAAGATAAACACATTAGCATAACTTGTTTTAAAAACTACTGTTTTGACATTAGATTTCCTCAAAAGATGTTCTTTGTCCATCTTTTTAATGCACTTTACTCAAGATTATGTTTGAGCATATGGAATTTATACATTGTCCATTAGTAGTATGCCATCATATAGATTCTTTGGGTGATCACAGAAATTTATTCTTTTAATTTACACTAATTCCTACTTCTTGCTTGAGCTGGTAAGTTGTAATCTTTGTTTTCTGTTGAAGCAAGTAAAATGAACATGTATCTAGAACATAACAACAAAGCCAAGTTTTTCTTACGTCTCAGAATTAGTATATCCAGATCTCATCCCCTTCAAAGTTAAAATTAAGCCATTGCTCAACTTGTTTTAAGAATGCTTCATTTGGAGCTGCCATTGTCCTTCATGCTGCCAAATTTGGTCCATTAAGGGTGGCTGTGGCTTCTGCAAACAGGCAAAAGTTGCTTGATAGAATTTCTGGTATCAAAAAAATAAAAGGATGTTCTTAAACCAGCTTTTGTATATCATGCTCTCACTTTATATTACAGAAAATAGCAAATGTATACAAAAAATGCAAAGTACAATGAAGCTCTGTATTCACTCCTTTCCATCCTTCCTTCCTTTCCCTCTTCCCTCCCTTCTACCCCCCTCCAACCTTCTCTATCTTGCTCTTTAGAGAAGTATTTAGTACACTGTAAAGAGCTCCAAGGGTATGGCAATAACAGAAGCACTTGCCCCCAGTATACATTTCTGTTACTGTTTTTGCACTTGTTTGTGAGCAGTGTTTCAAAAGAACAATTCTGGAGCCAGATCTACATCCAGGCTGCTGGCAAATGTGGACGTAGTGACATGTAAACTTCACATTGGTCACTGGTTACTGTGCTAATTTTAGAAAGCCCATGTGGACTCCGGCTGTGGCATTGTTTTAGCCTTTATTATCCCATAACTTTCTTCTTTGGATGTGGGTAAAAAAGTGGGGAGTCCTATGTCTGCTCTGTGTTCCAACTGTTATCTTCTCATCTTCTCTTGACAGTATGAGCGACAGAATAAGAAAAACCCTAGTAAAACATAGAACATTTAGTTAAAAGAAGAGAAAAGCTCTAGTGAGCTTGTAAGTTGTTTTCTTTTTAAATATTTCAGATTTACCAATTTTTCTACAACATATGAGATGTCTATGTCTGCAATGCTTGGAATAGTCACAAAAATAAATTTAAGACTTTCCCCAAGAAGCCAGTTTTAAGAACTTAGTTGTTTTTTTTTTTTCCCTGTTATTTTTAACAGAGATTGCAGTGAGCTAGGTTTGTTCCCTTGTCTTAATCATCTCTTTTTGTAATGGAAAAACTTTGAATATCTGTTTCTGTTTCAGGCATAGGTATAGGAAAATTTCAGCTGAAACAGCCAGAGGGTGGCCAGGTCCTACTTAACAGTCTGCATGGTGGTGTGCCAGAGTGATCTCTCACTGGCTTGCTAGAGCCAATTGCTTAACTTTCAGGATCTCTGTGGGCTGATTGTTAAAAATTAATATATCTATTAACACATTTAAATAGATTACAGTAAAAGCAGCAACAGTGCTCTAGCACATCATTTCTAATGTTCTTCTCTGTGATCTTCAAGTTGTCTGTATAGTGTGTGTCTTTTCAACTTCATACTCAGTGCAGTCACACCGGTGTTTTTGAATTAACCATGGTGAAAGTGTTTCCGTTGTAGGACTCATCAGACTACAGACTAGGGCTCCCCACTACTGCCCCGATATTACCAACAAACCACTGATTTAAGCTAAATAGCTAAAAATCCTAGCTACTTTAGCCCTTGGTGACAATGTGATAAAAAAATTTCTAAGACAGATTTCTAAAATGTCAAGAACAGGCTAAAATATGCATATCTTTGTTCCAAATGCTGAATAAAACCTTTGATATTTTTAAGACACCTATAGTGCTAAGAACAACCATTTTCACCTTTATAAAATGCTCTCTACTGACGTGAAAAGTATGTTGTTTCTAGGTTAAATTTATGTAGAATATTAGCAAATGAATTGTTTCTATAAGCTTGTAACACGTTATTTCATTGCAGCTGCCACAGGTGACATGCCAACTTACCAGATCCGGGCTCCTACTACGGCTTTGCCACAGGGTGTGGTGATGGCTGCATCACCAGGAAGTCTGCACAGTCCCCAGCAACTAGCTGAAGAAGCAACTCGTAAGCGGGAGCTGAGGCTGATGAAAAACAGGTAAGGTGTTTTTTAGCACTATGGGATACGCAATTTACTATGGTGGGAGGGGCTTTTTAAACAATACTTTTCCTCAGCCATTTCTCTTAAGCCTTCATTTGTGTGCTTATGATCTTCATATGGTAATTAGTCTTCTAGTGAGTTCCTGGCCAGTACTGTTTCATTAGCAGGAGATGTGTTCGTATATGTTGTAAGCATAATCAAAGATATGTTAGTATTTTTAAACAATGATATTATCAGATACTTTATTATGAAAAAAGTTTGTTTTATATATTGTTTTGTGAAATAGTATCATGGTAAGTATAATTTTTTAGGTTTTTAAAAAAATGGTGCTGTGGGTGGAACCTAGGACTTAGGATATGCTACGTAGGCATTGAGCTGCATTTCCAACCTTGATTTAAAAAAAATTTAATTGAAGTTTTGAGAATTTCATATAGTGTATTTTGATCATAACCTCCCTCCCCCATCTCCTCTGAGATCCATCTCCAGCTCCCTATCCCTTCATACTTTGTGCCTTCCTTTATTTTAAAATCTCGTGAACAGCCGGGAGTGGTGGTGCATGCCTTTAATTCTAGCAATTGGGAGGCAGAGGCAGGTGGATCTCTGTGAGTTGGAGGCCAGCCTGGTCAGCTGGGGTGACAGGGAGACCCTGCCTCAAAAAGACCAAAAAAAAGCTCAAAAGCTCATCCAGTTCAATTTGTGTTCCCCAAATACTCTTGAGTGTGGTTCCAACTCTGGAGTGTGGTAAACCTCCCTGGGGTTACACCCTGAGCTGACTCAGCAGTTAAGAGCACTGACTGTTCTTGCAGAGGACCCAGGTTTGAATTCCAGCACCCATACGGTGGCTAACAACGGTCTGTAACTACAATTCTAAGAGATCCAATACCCTCTTTTGACCTCTGTGGGCACTGCACTACACAGGTGCACTTACATACATGCAGGCAATACACTCATACACATAAAATAAAAATAAGTAAAATAAAAAATATCATTTTGGGGGGTACTGGAGAGATAGCTCAGTGCTTAGGAACACTGGCTGCTCTTTCAGGGAATCTAGGTTTGGTTCCCAGCACCCACATTGTGACTAGTAACTTTTCCTCACTCCAGTTCCAGGGAATCTGGTGCCCTCCTCTGGCCTCCTTGGACAGCAGGCACACATGTGATAACACTTACATATATGTAGGCAAAACCCTCATACATATAAAATAAAATTTTTTTATTTTTAATTTTTTTTATGTGTATATGTATTGCCCTCATGTAGGTAAGTGCACCCATTTTGTTCAGTGCCCACGGAGGACAGAAGAGGCTGTTAAATCCCCTGGACATGCAGTTATGGACAGTTGTTAGCTGCCATGTGGGTGCTGTGATTTGAAACCTAGGTCTTCTGCAAGAACAGCCAGTGTTCTTAACCTCTGAGCCATCTCTCCAGCCCCCCAAAGAAAATTTTTTTAAGTCTTGTTCAACTTCCAACACATTTTTACTGACTATACCTATTACTATCAAATCTGTCTTCTGTTCATGTCATTTCACATTGTTTTCAATAATTCAGAATGACAAGAACGAGGACTCCTAAGATCTTTAATGATCAGCATTAAGGGAGAAATGGTGGAGAAACTTGCAGCTAGAACTTTTTTAACATGTCTCAACCAAAGATGAGCATCTACAAAAGAAATGTTAAAAATAGTGTACACACAATCCAGAACATAAAAGGTGACAAAGGTGACAACCAGTATCAGGATGATGTGGGTAGCTCTGGTCTCAGGGTGGCCTCTGTGGTCCTGGATGGAGGTATGGATATGCTGCAGTCTCTGCTGGTGTCTGTGGAGGAGAATCACCATGGAAACACTGGTCCAGACTATGAGGTCAATCATGGGAAAACCACAAGAAGATCATGCTCATATTGAATGTACTAGTGGGACAGACCCATTTGCTTTTAGAGTCAGTGACATTGAGTGTGTTCTGAGGATCAGTGACCTTCATGGGAATATAAATATTATTTAAGAGACTGAACAGCCAGCAACCACAACAGGAATAACCAACAGTGCCCTGGGCACTTCCCCTGAGCATTACCCTACCCCAATTCCCAGGAACAAGAGTGAGGAACTGATAGATGCTCAGCACACACATAGAGCATAAGTTTGTGCTTTGAGCCACCAGGCGAACATAGTACTCAAGTTTACATTTCACATTGGACATGGGCCTTCTTAGACCAAAAACCACCATTTTGTTTGGAAACCAAGTGGTGAAGAGAATCAAGAAGTTGGCCAGAGTCATGTTGGTGAGAATCACCTGTATGGATCTCAGTTGAGAGCCAACCAAGATTGGAGAGAAATTAAGAATGAACAAGGTGAGGTTGGCCACAGCCCCAATCCCTGTTAAGGGTCTGTAAAATTCCCTAAATTGACCACTCGGACACTGAGTCTCAGTAAAAAGGAGTGCTTTATTGGAACTAACCAGTTGGGGACACAGACAGTCTCAGGAGCTGTGCTGCGACCCTGAACAGTGAAAATGCAGAGCTTTTAAGCAGAAAAAACACAAAAACCACAAAGCAGAGGCTGTCCATAGAAGCTATACACAGAATAACCAGGAAAGGATTGGAACAATCTAAGGCTGATTTCCAGAGACTTTACCTATATAGTCATTGGGGCAGAATGCTGTTTCTCTTCTGCCCTGGATTATTTCCATAGAGACCATACACAGATGTGTCAAGTATACTGTCATTGGCTAGCCCACCTGGGGCAGAGTGTTCTATCTCTTCTGCCCCAGACCATTTCCATAGAAATCATAAACAGATACCAGGAAAGGGTTTGAACAATGAAGGGGATTTCCAGAGTCAGGTGGAGACCTGACTTTTCAGCTTTTTCTCAGAGGCCAGGGAGGCGGGTCTGAGGGGCACTCTCTTTCAGTAAATCCTGTAAACTAGCTGCTGTAACTCCAGGTCTGAGGGAGCTAATACCCTCTTCTGGCCTCCGCCCTCACAAGTTCACTGGTACATGTGGATGGGAGCGTTCTCTCTCTCTATCTCTCTCTCTCTCTCTCTCTCTCTCTC